AGAGAGAGAGAGATGAGGCTGAGCCCAATTTTTTGTAGCAGAAAAGAAATGGGCTTAATCATGGTTTGTGATTCTCATTTTTGAAATCATCTGTGATGCATCATAGGAAAAACGACAAAAACTTGGGCACCCTGAACTAGATCCTGAAACTGAGGCCAGAGGGACTGAAAAGGCACCAAACTATTTGTACACCGAGGACCCTAAGAAACCTCAAAACCTTAGATCATTGCCACTATCTGCAAAGGATAAATTATTTGATGTTGGAAAGAGCTCCAGAGAGGGAAATCCCTCTGGTGAAATGAGAGTCAAACGGAAAGGGTTGCAAAAGGAAGGGTCAAAAGTGGTTTTTGGGGTTCCGAAGCCAGGAAAGAAAAGGAAATTCATGGATGTTAGCAAGCATTATGTCTCAGAAAGAAGTGGTAAATTACCCGAGAGAAATGATTCTGTTAAGTTCTTGAAATATTTGATCCCACAAGGTTCACGAGGGGCTACCAGGGGCTCCTCAAAAGTAGATGTTAAAGCTAAACAAGCAGTCGATCCTAAGTCTAAGGAGGTTAAGATTGAGAAAGCACAGAGGATCCCAAATAGGAACAGATCTGAGAAAAATGGTTCTTCTCTCTCTACTTCTACTGAGACCACAAGTGTGGATCCCTTACTGAATTCAAGAGGTCCTCTGACCACTGATAATAATAACAAGGTCGACAAGCAGCAAACTCCTGAAGTTGGGTCTTTACCTAATGTTACAAGGGATGTTCCTGTTTTATTTTCATCCATGGAACACTCATTGCAAGCACCCTCGAGAAGTAAATCTTCTACTATTATGGAGAGAGAACAGGTCCCTAAAGGAAAACATCTACCTAGTGCAGATAAGTTAAATGCAGAGGAAGATAAGTCTGCGGATGCTAGTGCTCATGGAAAGCCAGCTTCTGATTTAGAGCCTAGGAGATCAAACCGCAGAATTCAGCCTACGTCAAGGGTAAACTTGCGACTCTCTCTCTCTCTCTCCTTCTCTTTTTCTCTCTTATATATAGGGAGGTATATAATGAGACCATTTACCTTTGGTACAAGGTGGTCACAATTAATCTTGACCATTGGATATAAAATTGGGTGTTTGCATTTATTTCACTGACCAAGCTCAATGTTCAAAAGAAATTTTCTTGAACTTTGTGACACCCATTATCAGATTTCACATCAAATGGTTGTAAGTAATTGTAACGTCTCTGTACCAAAGGTAAATGGTCTCATTGTATACAATCTATATATATATATATATGGGATTGTATACAATGAGACCATTTACCTTTGGTACAAGGTGGTCACAATTGATCTTGACCATTGGATGTGAAATTGAGTGGCTGCATTTATTCTATTGATCAAACTCAAACTTCAAAAGAAATTTTCTCGAACTTTGTGACACACCCAAACTATCAAATTTCACATCGGATGGTTGTAAGTAATTGTGACTA